AGGCGGATCTCTGTGAATTCAAGACCAGCCTGGTCTACATAGTGAGTTCCACTACAGCAAAAAAAAAAAAAAGAAAGAGGAAAGAAAGAGAAAGAGAGACAGAGAGAGAGAGAGAGAGAGAGAAAGAGAGAGAGAGAAAGAAAGAAAGAAAGAAAGAAAGAAAGAAAGAAAGAAAGAAAGAATCATAAATAGCTATCTGTACACACATGTAAAGCAGCATTACTCAGAGAGCTAAGACCTAGAAGCAACCCGGTGTGCATCAGCAGAAGAGCAACTACTACAGTGAGGTCACTCACGTGAGGGACTACAACCGCAGGAAAAGGAAGGAAATGCCAACAACGACAAGTCACAGAGAGAGAGAGAGAGAGAGAGAGAGAGAGAGAGAGAGAGAAAGAAAGAATCATAAATAGCTATCTGTACACACATGCAAAGCAGCATTACTCAGAGAGCTAAGACCTAGAAGCAAGCCGGTGTGCATCAGCAGAAGAGAAACTACTACAGTGCGGTCACTCACGTGAGGGACTACAACTGCAGGAAAAGGAAGGAAATGCCAACAACGACAAGCCACAGGGAGCGGAGTTGAAGAAGCCATCAGGAGACAGCATCCTGCCCACACAAGTTCCTAGCACACACCCCTTTAACCAGACAGACAGGAGACTGCGGCTGTCAGAGGCTGTGGAAGGGAGCCCATAGTTTTCAATGGGTGACAGGCTTCCATTTCACAAGATGAATGAAATTATAATGTGATGGCTGTACATTGTATTTAAAACCAACGAGGACCAGTCAGATGGCTCAGGCAAAGGCTGTACTTGCCATGTAACCCAGTGACCTGAGTTTGATCCGAGGAATTTGGATAAAGTAGAAGGAAAGACCCAGCTGTCCTGGAACTCACTACGTAGACCAGGCTGGCCTCAAACTCACAAAGATGCCTCCCAAGTGCTGGGAGTAAAGGCGTGCGCCACCACGCCTGGCAAATTTTTTTAATTACAATAAAAACAATGAAATGATTAAAACAGAAAGAAACCACTTTTGATGAGCAAAGGTTAGTTCCAGGGAAACCATGTTTTGCTAGAATCCACCTAGCCTACCTGAATTTTTTTTTTTTTTAAGATTTATTTTTATTTTAAACCAGGTGTATATATGTTGATGTGTGGATATGCACACATGAGTACAGGGCCCACAGAAGTATGCCCCCCCTGAAGCATGGGATCCCCCAGGAGTTGGAGCTACAGGCGTGAGGCACCCAATATGTTTGCTGGGAACTGATCTCAGGTCCTCTGGAAGAGCAGTACATGCTTTTAACCATGAAAGTGACTCTCCAGCCCCCTACCTGGAATTTCTTAATTCCTGTAAGACGAGAGAGCTCTCGGAATTCCAGCTGAATGCTTGTCACCTCAGCCACCGTGCTGTCTGAAGTCCACTGGGGTGAGTGGGCAACTCCGGTGCCAATGTTCACGTCAGAGTACGGGATCTTGGACGGCGTGGTGAAAGCAGGCATCAGCCGATTTCCAAAATCTTCCTGGCATAAGAGCACAGCAGAGAATCAAGGGGCCAAGTCAGAGAGCTTCTTATTCTGCTACCCCTCTGCACCCAGAGCAAGTGGAGAAACATAGCTCAGTAGTGTCCCCAGTGCCAACACACAGTAGAATGAGGCTGCTGACAGGCACCAGCAAGGGGCTTCCTGTACACTGGAACAGTGAAGAGGGACATAGTAGCAGCTCACATGCACCAATGTGGAAGAAATCAAATGTACTGGAAAAGAAAACTGGAAAAAACTCCCCAAATCCTTCCCTAAGGAAATAATGGGCTGGAATGCCACCCCCATATCAAGCTACAGGCAGGGACACTCACAGCTTTTCTCAGGAAGAGGCTGTCTCCTGATAGGTGGTAGGTACTCAGCAGGCCCCCCAGGATGCGGATGGTACTCTCAAACAGGTTCACATCAACATTCTTCTCAAAGTGCAAGTTCTCTGACACCCACTTTCTGGCCTCCTCAAATTCTGCAACATGAAAAAGTGATGGGAGAAGCTGGGCGTGGGGTGCACGCCTTTAACCCCAGCACTTGGGAGGCAGAGGCAGGCAGATCTCTGTGAGTTCAAGGCCAGCCTGGTCTCCACAGTGAATCCAGGCCATCTGGGGCTACAGGGAGACCCTGTCTCAAAAAGACCAAAAAAAAAAAAAACAAAATGGAGAGGAGCAAATCCGCCATCCACCATCCGCCATGCTGTGGTGGAGCTGAGTGTGACATGCCTGTAACACCCAGGAGGCCAAGGCAGGAGGACTGCCACAATTCCAAGGCCAGGATGAGCTACACGGTACCGAACAGGCCAGCTGACGCTTCGCACTAAGACCTTGGGTGTTTTGTTTTGTTTTTTTTAAGAAGAAAACAACAGTTATACATGGTGGTGCCTAAGAATCAGGAGTTTAAGGTATCCTCAGCTATACAGTGAGTTCAAGGCCAGACTGGGCTACATGAGGCCCTGTCTTAAACAAACAAACAAACGAATAGGGCAGGTAAGATGGCTCAGCAGGTAAAGGTACTTAACACCAAACCTGACAAACCTGAGCTCAATCTCCAGCACCAACATGGTGGAAGGAGGAACCAACTCCCACAAGTTGGCCTCTGACTTCCACATGTATACTATGGCACACAGGACTACACGTGTGGGTACACAAACCAATGTGCTGGGTGTGGTGGCGCACACCTTTAATCCCAGCACTTGGGAGGCAGAGGCAGGTGGATCTCTATGAGATCAAGGCCAGCCTGGTCTACATATTGAGTTCCAGGCCAGCTTGGGGCTGCGGGGAGACCCTGTCTCAAAAAGATAAAAAAATAAAATAATAAACCAATGTAACAACCCTAAAACAAAATGCCTTCTGCAGAGAACTCTTCTCTTATGCAGCTTCAAGGAGTTTCTCAAAGGGGTAAACCCAAAAGTCATCAGTGTATGCAGATGGAACCAAGACCATGGAGCAGCCCTACTGAGCATAAACAGTCCCCACCAAAGCTGTGATGAACACATGCACGACTCATTGGTGGTCTTCAAGTTATTCAATGGATCAAGCAAATGTTTAAACTATCAATTTAGAAATGATTATTGGGCATGGTGGCACACACTTTTGATCACTGCACATGGGAGGCAGAAACAGTGAATCTCTTTGAGTTCCAGGCCAGCCAGGGCTACACAGGGAAACTCTGTCTTTAAAAAAAAAAATTAGGGGCTAGAGAGATGGCTCAGTAGTTAAGAACATTGATTGTTCTTGCAGAAGACCTGGGTTTGAATCCCAGCACCCGCATGACAGCTAACAACTAACTGTCCGTAACTCCAGTTTTAGGGGATCCAATGGCCTCTTCTGTCCTCCACGGGTACTGCACAACACAGGTGCACTTACCTGCATGCAGGCAATACACGCATACACATAAAATAAAAACAACAACAACAAAAAAAAAATTAAAACAATAACTCCAATTAACTGAGAGGACAAAAAATTGCCAAAGATGGAAAAGAAAACTACTTCATGTAATCTACAAATGAAAAGAGCAAATCTTTTATTTTAAAATATTTTATTTATTATTTTTATTGCACGACACAGGTACACTTACCTACATGCAGGCAATACACGCATACAATATATATTTTTAAAAATTATTTTTATTTTATGTGTATGTGTGTATTGCCTGCATGCAGGTAAGTGCACCCGTGTCGTACAGTGCCCGTGGAGGACAGAAGAGGCCATCGGATCCTCTGAAACTGGAGTTACGGACAGTTGTTAGCTGTCATGCGGGTGCTGGGATTCAAACCCGGGTCTTCTGAGAGAACAATCAGTGTTCTTAACTGCTGAGCCATCTCTCCAGCCCCAAAAATTACATTTATCAAAAAAAAAAAAAAAATTAGAGACTGGGCATGGTGCCGCACACCTTTAATTCCAGTACTTGGGAGGCAGAGCAGGCAGATCTCTGTGAGTTCAAGTCCAGCCTGGTCTACATAGTGAGTTTCAGGACAGCTGGGGCTACAAGGAGACACTATCTCAAAAAGACAAAAAACAAACAAAAAAATAAAAAATAAATTAGAAATGAGTTAAGGACACACCCCCTGTCCCAAATTAAATAGGATATGTGTGACCTATGAAAGACATCACAAGGATAGGGAGCCAAGGTGGGTTATGCAGGCTTCAAGCTCCCCACCCAACAGCCCCTTTAATGCAGCAGAACAGACTAGAAATGCTCCTCAGATGAACCTCCAAGTGTACCCTGAGCACTCCAGGAGGCAAGGAGACAGGTGTTTTGAGTGAGTGGCCGGATGGCAGACAGGCCCTGATCACACTAGACACACATTCCTGTTCCCAAGAAAGGAAAACCACAGTCCAAAGGAAAGCACGTGGAGCCCTCACTGTCGTCCACTGGAGAGCACGTGGAGCCCTCACTGTGGTCCACTGGAGAGCACCGGGGAGCCCTCACTGTGGTCCACTGGAGAGCACGGGGAGCCCTCACTGTGGTCCACTGGAGAGCACGTGGAGCCCTCACTGTGGTCCACTGGAGAGCATGTGGAGCCCTTACTGTGGTCCACTGGGAGCACGTGGAGCCCTCACACTCTGCTTCAGTCTGTTTGTCACACATGGGCACTCATCCACTCCAAAAAAGAGCCAATACCTTGCTTCAGACCCAAAATCCACATGGTGTCCAAGGCATCGATCAGGGTGAGGCCCAGGCCAAACCACTCATTGAAGGTTTTAGACACAGGCTTCAACTCATCGTGGCCCCAAGCAAACTTGCGGTAACCCCTCCAAGCATGGAGAAAGGCCTCGATCACCCCCTCCTGGCGCTCATTTGGGGGTTCTAGAGGGGAGAAAGCACAAGTAGTAGGAGACCGTCATTCTCCTGACACAGGCAGGACTTCCATAGACCTGTGATACCTGAGTGAGTGTAGCAAGATGGACACTGGCCCAAGTCATTAGTATTAAAAAAGGTAGAGCCGGGTGTGGTGGCACAGGCCTTTTATCCCAGCTTCCTCTGTTCAAGGGGAAACGGGGCAGCATTCCTATGGCCTACTGTAACAATACAGAGCAAAGCCCTCTGAAGCAGTTAATGAACACAGTCAGGCCTCCACAGTGTGCAGTGTGGACTTAGAGATAAGCAGGGACCAATGATGGGAAGACTAGCATGTATGTCCTCAGTGCACTCACATTATCCAAATAGATGAGCTTCCAGATTCCAGAGTCAGGCAGGGGCAGGGGCAGAGGCAGAGGCAGGGACAAATAAACCGGGGCCTGTGTGTCCTCCTTGAGGCTGCCTCACCTGCCCTGGGGAGCTTCCATCTCGCAAATTGAACAATGCACACGGTATGGCCTACGGCGTACTACACCACAGGCCTTTTCTCATTAGGTTCTGAGATTCTTGCTGATAGGACATGGCTTGACCCATCCACTTCTAATACAGTGGTCTCTACATGCCCTTAACAGGTGGGGCTGTGTCTCAGAGGTTCAGGTTCCTGTAGGGAGGCCCTCGCAGAGTCTACCCAGAGGCAGTTCCTGTATCTAGAATGGAAATATGTAGGCATTTCTTACCTCAAAGGACATTCATGACAACAGAAATGGGCCAGGCATGTAGAGTTTAGCACAAGGCTAGAACCAGGTAGCCTTCAGTGGATGATGCTAAGATCCCAGTGACCCACAGAGCTGCCTGAGGACCTGTTAGGCCTAGAGGTAAGTGGCCACACCATGGAACACCTGTGTCTCTACTTATCCTGACACAGCCTGGCCTAGGAACAGAATGGCAAAATCAAACTTCCCAAGCATAGGGAATGGAGGTGCTGTTCAGTGCTCATGCAAGAACCTGGGGCAACTAAGAAGCCACAGACAGGCACCAGGGCTATAAGAAGTTTGTGGAAGGAAATGGATGCTGAAGGGTGAGTGGCACTGGGGTCATAACCCAGCCACAGCGCCAACCTCCAGGCTCTCAGGCACAGACCAGGTGAGGCAAAGGGGGCAGGATAGGAAACTCACCTGGTTCTTTCCACATCCTGGCTGCCAGCAAAGGTGGTTTTGTGGAGCCTTCAGCCTTTCTCAAAGGGAGTTCAGTGCCCTGTTCAGGCTCAATCACTGCTCCCCGCCAGCTTCGGTGGGGGAAGGGAGAGGACTCAGTCAGACCAAGAACTCCATATTCATACCCTCCACCCCACACAACTACACCTAGGACAAGGCTACTCCTAAAGGGACTCAACTCTATATGTGCCACAGTCACAGAGTAAAAGGGAAATCAGCAGCTGGTCCTGACACACCAGACTATCTGGTCCAGCCTCCTGATGTGGAGACAATAACCCTAGGGCTACTCTAAGCAAGGGAGAGCCTGGATCTGAGACCTATGCAAGAATTCTTGAAAATTCCTGTGGGGAAGTCCAAGAAGCAACTTCGTGGAGGGACGCAGTGACCAGAGGCTGAAGCTTCTAAGGTGGTGACAAACCCAAAGTGAAGTGCAGTGGGTACAGAAGCCAGGGCAGCTGACTAGACTGGCACTCCCTTCCTCATGCCTGGGTGTAAATCTAGGGTCCCATTTGCAGGTGAGCACACCGGGAACAGGCAGAGGCTTGACATATGATGGTTGGGTGGGGGCCCAAAGGGCTTCTTTTTTTATTGTTACAGTATTTTGTTTTGTTCTTTAATACGGAATGCTTCACAGATCTGTGTGCCATCCAGGCGAATCCTTTCTGTATCGTTTCAATTTTGGCTCGTGTGTGGCTCAAGTGAGAACAAAAGGGTCTCTTCAACAACCTGAACACAGCGGGTGCATGTGCAGCTAGTGCCTCTCAATTCCAAGAGCTCCTGTCTGTAAGAGCACATCATGGGGCACTGCCCAGCTGAGTCAGGCACTGGCTTTCACTTCTGCAGACATGAACAGGAGCTTCTCCACGGCACTGTTCTCCTTAGGGACACTCAGGCTGGGGAGCCTAGGGACTAGGCTACACCCTCTCGCTCTGCTCACTGTCCAGCCAGAAAGAGCTAGAAAAGGAAGTGACTGCCATCCCCATGGCTGCCTGCTCCAGAAGAAACCCGAGTCTCATCCTACTTACTTCCATTCCCTTCTGACCCTCCCACTGTCCATGCCTTAAAATAGCCTTGTTCTCAGATACAGGTATACACCAGGAGCACAGGTCATGAATCAAATCTGGCTATGTAATAAAGCTTACTGTCTGGCTATGTAATAAAGCTTACTAAAGCTGCCTTTAGCATAATCAGTCTGTCTCAAATAAATGGGAAGTATGACATGGCTCAGTCAGACTGGCTTCAGATGCTGCATATTCACACCATCTCTTGCTCTGGGTACCTGATGACGGTCTTCTGTGTGTTTTCTTCTTCCTGCTGAGCATTCCCTGGGGCTGTTTCCCTCTCCTTGGCATCATCCTGTGTCCCATCCTTAGATACTGTGTTGGGGGCTCTGATCTGCAAGTGGGAGGAGCCCCGCCGGAAATGTCTTCGAGGCTTCTAAACCAATATCAGAATTATATGTGAGAATATGCCCCTGCTGTGGACTGGAATTCTTTGTATACCTAGGATTCTGCCCCTCAAAAATGCACCCAACACCTGGGTAGACTAGTAGACTGTTGTGCTCTACCAGCCTTAGTTTTAAATTGTCTGAGGTCTGGGAGACTGCTTAGGAGCTTAGAGAGACACCAAGTTTCTAGTACAGGTCTGAACAAACAGGTGAGGGCCCTGGTTTGGGTAGTTTAAAACTGAAACAGACTCAGGAAGCAGAGGCAGGCAGATCTCTGTGAAACTGAGGACAGCCTGGTCTACACAGCTCTAACTCCAGCTAGAGCTACAGGAAGACCCTGTCTAAAAAAAAAAAAAAAAACAAAAACAAACCACCAAACCAAACAACTCGAACAGATCACGGATGAGAACAGCAAGACAAAGACGCTGTGGATAAGAGGAGAGCCGGTGTGGCTTGCTCTCATCCAGAAAGTGTGGCAGGGCACTGGGTTCTCACAAAACGCCACAGAGCTATGAACGACAGAGCTCGGTCCCCACCGTCATCCTCACACCAGGGGAAGCCCTGTCAACAGGCTAGTGCCCCTCCCAGCTCCATTCTGTTTCCATAAAAGCAGGCACAAAAATTCATCCTTGACTTTATTCATATCCTCAATCAATGATTTAGTAAATTATGGCACAAGCATGCAACGGACAACCCAGCTATAGGAACCTGAATGACAGCAGACAGTCTCTTGACAAACACTCAAGCTGAAAATCCATATGATACCAACTGTCAAATGTGTTCACATGTATACATCTAAACACAACTATTAAAACATACCACATGTTTCAAAAGTCGCTTTGGGCAGGGTGACAATGAATGCTCCTGTTTTCATTTTATACCTGTCCTGGTGTTCCAAGTCTCCCTCCTAAAGCACTTGTAACATTGAAGGCAATTAAAGCGTAAACATTCATGGAAGCATATAGTAGAAAGTTACCCCTCCCTTTAAAAAAGAGCCAAGGCTAGGCAGGTGAGAAGGGCAGCACAGCACTGAACCAGTGCAAGAGAATACTCATCATGTGCCACCTGACTCCTGGTATGAGCAACACTACAGCTTAAAGCAGCAGAATGCACCTTCCAGTGGAGAAGGACGCCCACCTCTGCGTTTGTGCAGTGAGAAGATTCCACGTGCACGAGGCCGAAGAGCACAGGGAACTGTGAGCATCACCAGTTTTACGTGGGAAACCAGCCTGTGCAGACTCTCTCTAGCAGCAGCTCTGCCCCTGACCCCAACAGCTGTGCCAACAGTTCTATAAGGATGACATGTCCACTGGCCTTTCCAAGCCCACTTGTCTCCCCATTATGTGGCCTGACCAGGGGTCTTGCCAGTATAGGCTTCAGTCTGTTTTCCAGTACTCTCTGAGCATCCAGCAACTTAGTTAACAACATCCTTTGCAAAGAAGAAAAATTATGGGCTGGAGAGATGGTTCAGCAGTTAAGAGCACTGGCTACTCTCGTAGAGAACTGGAGTTTGGTTCCCAGCACCCACAGAAGCACTCACAACCACCTGTAACTCCAGTCCCAGGGGCTCTGACACCTCTTCTGGCCTTCTCAGGTACTCGAACACACATGCTAATTCCCAGACAGACACACATATATACACATAAATAAAAACAAATCTTTATTTAAAAAAGAAAAAGCAGGGCTGGAGAGATGGCTCAGCGTTTAAGAACACTGGTTGTTCTTGCAGAAGACCCGGGTTTGAATCCCAGCACCCACATGGCAGCTAACAATTGTCTGTAACTCTAGTCCTGGGGATCCGACGGCCACTTCTGACCTCTGCGGGCACTGCACAACACAGGTGCAGTTTCCTACATGCAGGCAATACACACATACATATAAAATAAAAATAAATAAAAATTTTTAAAAAGGTGTTTTATTTTTGGTCTTTTTGAGACAGGGTCTCCCTGTAGCCCTAGCTGTTCTGGAACTCAGAGATCGTCTGCCTCTGCTGGGATTAAAGGCGTGCGCCACCACGCCCGGCAAAAAAAAAAAGAAAGTTAAATAAATAAATAAATAAATAAATAAATAAATAGCACGACACTCACTACCTAGAATGAAGGCACCCCAAACTCACCAGGACTGACACCCTATGCTTGGATCCCTGCCAATGTACCTCTACTTCCCAACTGGGACACCAGCACTGGGGAGGCAGTTCTCTAAAGCTACTATCAGTAAAGGCTTCTGTTTTGTGTGCAGCCCTGCAGGAATGTGAAACCTCTACCTGGTACACGAGGACCACCCACAGGGGAAGTGCCTGAAGTCTTCCTACAACTGTTGGCTGTAGTCATGGCCATGATAGTCAAAGGCTTCAGAGGTACAGAGGAACTCACATGCAGTGGGCTCCTGTCCCAGCTCTCAAGCTATTTGGGAAGGGTCCTTCTCAATCTCAGGTAAACTCTCAGAACTGGCTCTTCTGCTACCACTGACCTACTTCTGGACTCCACCCCACTTGCCCCACTTCCCTCAACCCCACACTCCTCAGAATGGGTGCTCTAGGATGAGACCTGGCTGTTCCCTCAACTCATAAATCAGGCTCCCTAAACCTGCCTCCCCTGCCAGGTGATCCTGATACACCACCCACCCACAATGACTCCATGCTGCTTCCCAGGCACAACGTGGAAGAGCCAGGTGGAGCACCTTAGTGTTCCCAAGCTGGCTCCTGCTCATTCTTCACAAGCCCCTCTGCCTGAGAATCTACTCTTCCCCATCCCACAACCTAGTTCTTTAGCAACTCCCTCCACTGTGACATCTCCCCACAAGAGTACAGATCTACTCTCCCTGCCTCCCATCCTCCTTGGATCTTCCTGAGCACACTGCTCATATTTCTTGGGCACCACCAGGACCACAGGCAGGCAGACCCCAGTATCTCCTCTCCAGTCAGGCACTATGGGAAGGTCATTTGCAATGGTCTATCTCCTTCAGTCCTGCTTGGCCCACCATGACAGAAACAGGGGCTTCCTGAGCACCAGGCAGTGCCTTCTGGGTCATGCCCTCAGCTCTCAGCACTGGTCTGTACTCTGTCTCAGTGCTTCCTGCTCTCGACACAAGGGACTTGTGCCATATGCTACTGACTTGATTTATTTGGAGCTGGCCTCTCACCTGCCTCTCCTATCAGCTTTTTTTAAAAAAAATATTTTATTTGTTATTTTTATTTTATGTGTATGAGTGTATTACCTGTATGTATGTGAGTGCACCTATGTTGTGCAATGCCTCGGAGGTCAGAAGAGGGCTTCAGATTCACCTGGAATTGGAGTTAAGGGCAGTTTGTAGCTGCCATGTGGGTGCTGGGAATAGAACCCAGGTCTTCTGCAAGAGCAGTCAGTGCTCTTAACAGCTGAGCCATCTCTCCAGCCCCTCTCCTATCAGCTTTTACAGTTCCTCCAAAGAGACAAGTTTCTTCCATCATCAGTGGGCAGCCAGCACCTAACACAGGAGCTCACTCAGGGTGGTGTTCAAAGAGAATGAAGTGTCTGTCTGCCCCCTTTTCCCCAACTACTATATAACAGCCTGGGATAAGCCAGTGTGCAGCTGAATGTAGTAGGGAGAATAATCCTCAGACTCTTTGAGGCAGTATTTACTAACTTGGAATGTTCTGGAATAGACCCCAGTGACCCACATAGTCCTGACTGGAAGTACCTGAGGCAAAATTTCTGGAAAGTCTTCTGGGTTGGCACTTTCTTTCTGAGGAGCTGGTAAGACAGGCGGCTTCAACACAGAGATGTCTCGTCTCATCTTCTGCTCTTCTGCAGATCCACCACTCAGGGCTATGAAAGAAGATCTTTTACCTCAAAGCCCAGAGAAGACTCAAACTGCCCTAGGAGATTTCTAAACAGGTGTTATTTGTTTTAGGTCAGTGAGACCCCCAAAGGCTACTGAATTCAAGAGCCAGAGGAATCAAAGCTGAGCTGTTTTTTGTTGGGATTTTTTTTTTTTTTTTACTTTTTAAATTATTTTTATTTTATGTGTTATGTGTGTGTTGCCTGCATGTAGGTAAGTGCACCTGTGTTGTGCAATGCCCTTGGAGGTCAGAAGAGGCTGTCGGATCCCCTGGGATTGGAGTTATGGACAGTTGTTAGCTGCCATGTAGGTGCTGGGATTCAAACCCGGGTCTTCTGCAAGAACAACCAGTATTCTTAACTGTTGAGCCATCTCCCCAGCCCCTTTTGTTAACTTTTTAAAAAAATTTTTGTTTATTATTTTTATTTTATGCGTTATGTGTGTGTTGCCTGCATGTAGGTAAGTGCACCTGTGTTGTGCAATGCCCTTGGAGGTCAGAAGAGGCTGTCGGATCCCCTGGGATTGGAGTTATGGACAGTTGTTAGCTGCCATGTAGGTGCTGGGATTCAAACCCGAGTCTTCTGCAAGAACAACCAGTGTTTTTAACCGCTGAGCCGTCTCTCCAGCCCCCATCATTGTTTTTTAAAAGACACCAATTTCATGTAGCCTGGACTGGCTTCAAGCTTCTGATCCTCCTCCCTCCATTTCCCAAGTGCTGGGATTACAGGTAAGTGCCTTGTGCCAGGCTGAACCAATTCTCTTTCAAAGCACTTGGCAGTGTGTGACATTATACACAAATCCAAAAAACCATCACCTTAAGAGTGTCTATTCAGGAAAGGATAACATGGTGGTAAAAAGGCAGTTTGTTTGAGCTACCTGCAGCACTCTGGCTCTCCTCCAGGAACAGCAACCTTAGAGAAGCCCAGAATCCTGTGAATCTTTACAAGAAATCTTCTGGTTTGGTGCAAACACACAGCAACAAGTAACAGGACACTAACATCATTAACAAGACTGAAAGCTCATGACTGATGTTCTCTGGCAGAGGCCAGAGAAGGCACTGTTGACACCAAATAACCAGAGAGCAGTCTACAGCGTTAACTGCACAGCCAGTTGGTCATACCGAGCTCCATATTTCTCCTTCTGTGTACCTTTTGTCAATCTGTCACCACATAAGCCTCCCTGGTGCTGTATCAGCTAACCTCAGCCAGCACACAGGCCCCTGCTCAAGCATCCCCTAGAACCACGGACATTCCTGATACCTTTCCATTGGTCAGCCACCTGGACATAGGACAGGAATCCACAGAGAAGCAGAAAGGCCAGAAGGAAGAGAATCACATTCCGCTGTAATCTCGACAGTTGCTTCCATTTCTAAGGAAGAGTCAGAAAATGACACTTGTCAAAGATTCAGTGAGGACAGCAATTCAGTGAGACCCAGTGGCACATATTTGTTCTAAAGGGCAGAGAAAGACGCTCCCCGTCTGCAAAGTTTACATTGCTGGGCCAGCACTAGAGGTGACAGTGCACACTAGCTCATACTTGGTGAGATCAGTGTAGACCGTCTGTCCAGCTGCACCTGCACTGGAGAGACTCCTGCAATCCCTGTGACCTGGCTCGCTCGCCGACTGACCCTGCGTCAGCACCGCATGCAGAGTCCGTGCCTTTACCCCAGCACCACCAGGAACACCTGGCGTTGGACAGGGCGCTTTGGTCCCTGGGCCAAGGGGAAATCACCACCGGGACCCAGGCCGCGGGGGCCAGGCGCCGCACAGAGCCTTCTAGAAGCTGGAGGAGACGCAGGCGCCAGATTCCGGGTTCACCCCCGCGGCCGACCGCCCCCGGCCTCCCGGGCGAACGCCTCACCCTCCAGCACGAGCGCCGCCGCCGGCTCTTGCTGTTGTCGTAAGTCTCGCCCAGGCTCAGCGTCACCGAGATGAAGTCCCGGTGAGGCGCCGGCGGCGGCGGCGGGTACATGACTGCAAGGCCGGTCCCGGAGATCGCGCTCGCGGGCGGTGTCAGGGAAACCAAGTCCGAAGACCGCGGGCAACCATCGCGGAGCCGTCCACACCCCGCCCATCTCCCTCGCAGTCAGTGCGCACGCGCCGGGCCTCCTGCCGGCCGGTGCGCATGCGCCCTGCCTTCCTGCGCGCACGCGTACAATTTTGCGTACGCGTTCCCTTCTGAGTCGCCTGTGGCTCGACCGTCTCTGACGTCATTTTATCGCGTCTGCGTCACTGCCTCTACCCCGCCGTCCTGCCGGCTCCCGGATGGATTGACCGCCTCCTTCTTGGAGGCCGCAGTCCCTCCTGTCTCGAAACACGCACAACCGGGAGGGAGCCCTGCAGCTGGGAGCGACCCTGTCGCCGGCCATTCCACTTGGAGCCTCACGGACTTGTCTAGTGAAAAACGACCGCACTTCGCCGTGCGCATGGTTCCCTCGAGGAAAACACCCCAAACGCCTCCCGGGCCGAGGCATCTGTGGTGTGCAGGGCTCTCAGAGAATCTCCTGCAGACGACCTTCCTGGTCTCCAGTCCCCTTCCCTTTTTAAAAATGTTTTTATTTTTATTATTTTATATGTATGAGTTTATTGCCTGCATGTAAGTGCCCCCATGTCGGGCAGTGTCTGTGGAGGTCCGAAGAGGGCGTCGGATCCCCTGGAACTAGAGTTAGGGGGACGATTGTTAACTGAGGATGGTTGTTAGTTGCCATGTGGGTGCTGGAAATCAAACCTGGATCCTCTGCAGGAGCAGTCAGTGCTCTTAACCGTTGAGTCATCTCTCCAGTTACCCCTACCCTTCTTGAGGTCACCTTGGAGGTCCCCGAAGGTCTCTTCCCACAGCTCTGCTGCATTCCCAGCAGTGTCCCGTGTACCGCCCAGCAGTTACCAGGGAAACCATGGCAGATAATACCCGTGCAATGACATAGAAGTCAGCACATCTTCCTAAAGTGTAGATGTTGATGTCTGGGGATCTGGAGCCAGGCCTGAAGCTCTGCATTGGCTGCATTCTCCCACACTGTTGCTGATGGCATTTGGAATCCCAGAGGACTAGTTAGAGCTCAAGGTTAAAGAATAAACCTTGGGGGCTGGAGAAATGGCTGTGGTTAAGAGCATCGGACTGCCCTTGCAGAGAACCCAGGTTCGATTCCCAGCACCCACATGGCAACTAACAACCATCCTCGAGTTCCAGAGGATCCGACGCCCTCTTCTGACCTTCACAGACATTCCACACACCACACATGGGTGCACTTACATGCAGGCAATATATGCATACACATAAAATAAAAATAATAAATAAAAATTTAAAGATACCTGGGCTGGAGATGCAGCTTAGTTGGTAGAACGTTTGCCCAGCATTCGTGAAACCCTGGGTTCCATCCTCCATAAACCAGCTCTTGTGAGGTGGAGACAGAAGGATCAGAGATTCAAGGTCATCCTCAGCCACATAGCAAATTCAAGGATAGCCTGGGCTACATAGAGTCCTCAGAATTCTGAGGGAGAGCGATTGGAGCTCTGTCCCTCTCAATATTGTTGGTCTATCTGATTTGCCATTCATATTAGCATTTTACCGTGCATCCTTTTCCAAAACAGTGATTAAGACATACTCATCAACATGATAAAAACTTTACAGAACTGAAGTGAGAAACAGTTCAAAAACAGTATTTAGAGCTAAGTTTGGTGGTGCACTGTGCATGTAATCCTGATACTTGGGAGGTGGAGGCAGGAGGATTGGCAATTCACATTTGACCTGATGAGATCCTGTAGAGAAAGAAAAGCAGTTTGTCAGAGTACCTTGACAAGCAGAGGGGTGGGGGAGAAAGGGATGAGGGAGGGGAGGAGAGAAGAGAGGGAGAAAGAGACTATTGAACTTTAGGTGGAATAGAGAAATTCAAAAAAGAACAAACTGCTAAAACTAACTGAAGAAGAAATAGAAAATCTGAAAATACTAAATGGAAACTGATCTAACATCTGGCTGGGACACACTTCTGTCTCTTGCCATGTGATTCTGAGCTGCCTCAGACCTCTGCTAGCAGGCAAGTCATTACCACATGTACCAGGGAACCATGAGCTAAAATAAATCTTATTTATTTTCTTTAATTTTCTTTATTTTTATTTTTTTATGTGTATGCATGTATTGCCTGCATGTAGGTAAGTGTACCTGTGTCATGCAGTGCCTGAGGAAGACAGGCTGTCGGATCCCCTGGAACTGGAGTTTATGGACAGTTGTTAGTCACCATGTGGGTGCTGGGAACAGAACCCAGGTCCTCTGCAAGAGCAGTCAGTACTCTTAACCACTGAGCCATCTCTCCGGCCCCTTATTTCTTTTTTAAATATTTTATTTATGCCGGGCATGGTGGCGCACGCCTTTAATCCCAGCACTCGGGAGGCAAAGTCAGGCGGATCTCTGTGAGTTCAAGGACAGCCTGGTCTACATAGTGAGTTCCAGGACAGCTGGGGCTACAGGGAGACCCTGTCTCAAAAAGACCCCCCTCCAAAAAAATTTATGTGTATATTGCCTCCATGTAGGTAAGTGCACCTGTGTTGTGCAGTGCCCACAGATAACAGAAGAGGCTGTCACATCTCCTGGAACTGGAGTTATAGACAGTTGTTAGTTGCCACGTGGGTGCTGGGATTCAAACCTGGGTCTTCTGCAAGAACAGCCAGTGTTCTTAACTACTGAGCCATCTCTCCAGCCCCTTTAGTCTGAATTTTTTCCAGACCCTACAGTGCATTTTTGGGGGGGGGGTCACTGGCGCTACAGTGCATTTTGAAATACTATAGTTAATAGACAAATTTTAATTATTTTAGTAAATAAAATTGAATGGCTCTAAGAAAAAATAAGTAAATAATCTTAAAACCCAGGGGTTAAAATAGAAAACAAAGCTGGGTGTGGTGGCACACGCCTTTAGTCCCAGCACTTGGGAGGCAGAGGCAGGAGGATCTCTGTGAGTTCGAGGCCAGCCTGGTCTACATAGTGAGTTCCAGGTCAGCTGGAGCAACAGGGAGACCCTGTCTCAAAAAGGGGGCTGGAGAGAGGCTCAGTGGTTAAGAGCACTGGCTGTTCTTGCAGAAGACCGGAATTCGAATCCTAGCATCCACGTGGCAGCTAACAACTATGTAACTTCAGTTTCAGGGGATCCAACAACAACTTCTGTCCTCAGGCAATACAAGCATACACATTAAAAAAATAATAAATAAATTTTTTAAAAAAAAGGAAATGGGCTGGAGAGATGGCTCAGCGGTTAAGAACACTGGTTGTTCTTGCAGAAGACCTGGGTTCCAATCCCAGCACCCACATGGCAGCTAACAACTGTCCATAACTCCAGTCCCAGGCCAACAGCCTCTTCTGACCTCCTCGGGTGTTGCACAACATGGGTGCACTTACCTACATGCAGGCAATACACGCATGCATATAAAATAATAAAGAAATTTTTTTTAAAAGGGAAACAAAGGGCTAAGATATAGCTCCATCATAGAGCATTTGCCTAGATGCACAAGATCCTGGGTTCCATTCCCAGTACCACCAGAAAAAATTCTAGTGAAAGGAAAACAAAGAGCCAGGCATGTGGTAACTACCTGTACTCCCAGCACTTGGAGGTAGAGGCAGGAGGATCAGGAGTTCAAGGTCATCCTTGGCTACATAGGAAGTTAGAGGCCAGCCTGGGCTCATTGAGACCCTGTCTCAAAACAAACAGCAAGCTGGCTATCCTTTACCATTGTGCACCCCAGCAGAGCCACTTGGCATTGCTTTGAGGCTGCTGAGAACTAACTTTAGCCTTGTGCTTGAGGATCCTTCCTCAGAAGAGGTCACCATGCATGGATCTTGTCTTATTGGCCAAACCAGACCTTTACTGTGTCTTTGGGTGTTTCCTGTGTCTCCTGTCCTGGGTGAGTTCTGGAGTTCACCCCATGCTCAGTGGCTCCAGGGATGTAGGTGACAAGATCCAAGACTTCCAGGAGTATCTGCCTTCTTGCCACCAGACCCATAGCTTCGTCACTGCAGAGCAACTTAGCCAGTGATTGTGAATTGATTTCCTGTCTACCCCTGGGGCAGGCACTTGCTACCCCTTGGGCAAAAGAGACTTGCAAGCTTTCCCAAAGAGACCAGGAAATTTTCATGCTGTCTTGTACAGGGAGGACTGACTGAGAGAACTGCCTCACTGTACTGGGAACTAGAGAACTACCTCCGAGTTTCAGATCTCTGAGATGAGATAGTGATTAAATTCACAGAACCTTGTTTGCTTGGTTTTTGGGATTTTTTTTTGTTGTTTTGTTGTGTTTTGTTTTGTTTTTTGAGACAGAGTATCCTTGACTGGCCTGGAATTTGCTATGTAGACCAGGCTGGCCTCAAACTCACAGCGATCCACCTGCCTTTGCTTCCTGAGTGCTGGGATTAAAGGTGTGCATCACCATACCTGGCTAAAAAATTTCTTTATGAGTTAGTATCAGTAAATGATCTGTATACCTATTTTATATGCTTGTATACCTGGGGTCACATAAACATTTCTTGGGTGAAAGAAGTCACAGTTAGAAAAAGTTTCATAAGCCCTGGTTTAGTGTATTTTTTAAATTTTTATTTATTATTTTTATTTTATGTGTATGAATGTAATGCCTGCATGTATATGAGTGCACGTGTGTCGTGCAATGCCGAGGTCAGAAGAGGGCTTCGGATTCCCTTGGAACTGGAGTTAAGGGTGGTTCATAGCTGCCATGTGAGTGCTGGGAATTGAACCCAGGTCCTCTGCAAGAGCAGTCAGTGCTCTTAACTGCTGAGCCATCTCTCCAGCCCCTAGTGTATTATTGTAGAAATGAGCTGTCATCCCTGTTGGAAGCTTGCAGCTCAGGGAAAGGCAAGACTAAGGAAGGGTTCGAATCCTGCGCTCATTTCCCTGGTTCAGGTAGTAAATAAAGGTGTTTCTTCTTTGAAAGTGAATCTAAGAAGCCACGTGTGGTGGTGCACATCTTTAATCCCAGCACTCTGGAGGTAGAAGCAGGTGGATTTCTGTGAAATTGAAGCCAGCCTGGTCTACGTAGGAAGTTCCAGACTGGCTAGGGCTAAAGGGAGACCAGTCTCAAAAAAAA